GCCCTGCGTTTTGCTTTAGGAAACTGGTTGGGCGCTAGCACATGAGAGGATTGAAACAGGTAGGAGGTGGGAGACCCAAGTGTCCCCAAAAGACAAGATGAAGAGCATGTCCCAGAGACACATACCTGTGCAGAGATGGGACCAAGGCCTTGAATGCAATAGAAATACCTCCATCAAAACCTTTCTCTACTTCTGCAAATGTGAACTTGAAAAGGAATCTTACAACCGGTGCTCTGTGCATTCAAGGCCAGCCTGGTCTATACAGTGAATTCCAGGCCAGCTGGGAATATAGGGAGACTGTCTCAAAAATATTTCCTCCCAAAAGAAAAGAAAAGAATAGAGAAAAGAAAAGAAAAGTAAAGAAAAGGAGCCTTAAGTATAAATTATATTTTGCTGCAAAAGGTTCTCTTGGGGGGCCCTTAGAAAAGGTGGGAAGATCCTGTGAAGACTAGGAGTCCTGGAGCTCGGCCAGCAGAGGGCTTCAGCAGGAAGCACAGCAGCTCACTGTTGTGAATGTCACAGTGGAGGTGAATCCCTCAAGAGAGGAATGTATATTGCACCCAGAAAGAACAAGCACATCCCTTTAGGGTGCCAGCAAATACCAGTGCTGCGCAGCACACCGAATGCCTTCTGGTGCTAGGCATTGTGTTTGAATTTGAAGAATCTAATAAAGTAAGACACAGGTCCTGATCTCAAAGAACTTGCAGAACAGATGGTGGAAATGAGTGAGATGCAGGAGAGTTCTGTTCCCATGACTTCCTCAGTGCTTCTGCTCAGGGTGCCATCTAGGTAGCCTAAATGAGGCTGTAATTGTGAGGTTTTGTTTTGCTCTTTTTTTTTTTTTTTTTTTTTTTTTTTTGAGACAGGATCTCCCTGTAGCCCCAACTGGTCTGGAGCTCACTATGTAGACCAGGCTGGCCTTGATCTCACAGAGCTCCACCTGCCTCTGCCTCCAGAGTGCTGGAATTAAAGGCATGCGCCACCAGGCTCAGCTTGTCAGGCTGTGTCGGTGAAGGAAAGGCAGTGAAAATAGATGCATGGAGAGGGGTCTATCAGGCCACTGGGTGATTCCTAGCTCCAAAGCTGTAGAGAAGCCCACAGGTTGCTTAACTGGAGTCCCAGGAATATGACAATATACTAATCTCAGACTTTTTCTTTAAAACTTTACATCTCAACAAAATTTAGTGTCAGAACAATGAAGACACTTTTCTGAAGAATGAGGTCCTACTTTGCATACTTAAAGGATATAATGAAAATACTATATTTCTGTATGTCCAGAAAAAACTCTGACTATAAGACAGTGTTAAACACGTTCTTGCATGCTTAGATATAGACAAAAGATAAAGCACAGAGTCCTGAATGGGAAACATCTCTGGAGGAGACCATGGCTCTCCTGGTGGTATACATGCAGCCACCTGCCGATCCTTTAGATGACATGGCCCGGGCCTTCATGCAAACAGACACAGCTCTTTCTTCTGAAAAGACTATGGCCCAGGTAGGCACAGACAATATGTGTGCACCACAAGCGGGTGTGCAGAATAAGGACAGCTGTCTAGAACACTGATACACTTTTTGAACTTCAGAAGTGGTAAGTTCATCTGAAGAGAAGAACAACAGCAACAGAAACGTAATTCCAGAAACAACAGGGAAAGTACACACAATGTCTATGCCATTAGCAGTTTGGGAGGCCCCAGATTCCTCTCCATCATGCTTGTAGGCACCTGGTATTTCCTCCATCTGATGGATGGCCTGATCCATTCACTCCTTGGCTTTCCTATGTCAAAATGCACCTGAAAGAATGGTCCATGTTTCTTTCACACACAGAATGTGGTCATGGATGGAAGCACTCATTCTACAAAGGTTATGAGTTATTGTGAGTGGTACTGTATGAGTTCCGATGAATAAAACTAGGCTTTTTCAAAATGCACAGAACCAGCAGATCAATCTAGAGGAAGAAAAACACAACGAAGTCATCAGATTGTCCCAAATGCCTCAATCAGTTCTTCACTGGGGAATGTTATGTCAGTGCAAAAATGATCTAGACTGAAACATAATCTACCTTCAGCACTGGGACGGAAGATGACAGCTGCTTGTTCCCTTTGGAGCCTCAGCAACAGTGCATATCACTTTCTCAGAAACTCCAAGCCTGTCTTAGTTTATTTAAAATAAACGCTTTCTTGGAAATATTTAGGGGGAATAGATGAAGACCTGACTGCTAAGGGTCTCTGGCTTCAGCTCAGATCTGGCAGTAGATCAATGATATCTCTGATCTCCAAATAATCG